AAGGACAACAGAATATCACAAAGCAGATGGGCAGGGCAAGGTCACAAGGCCAGGGCAAAACTGGAATTACTAATGAGGTTCCCTGTCCTGCTGTGCACGCATTGTTATTGATAAACATCAGGAAACAGGATTTGAGAGCAGACAACCAGTCTGACTAAAATTTACTAGGCAGGAATTTCCTAATCCTAATAAACCTGGGGGCGCTGCAGGAGACTTGGGCACGTTTCATCACTATCTACAACTGCATAAGGCAGACACTCCCAGAGCAGCCATGTTAGAGGCCCCCCCCGGGAATGCGTTCTTTTCCCAGGGCTGTTACTTATTAATATGCCTACTGGGGAAAGAATTCAGCAATATTTCTTACCTGTTTTTGGCAATAAGAGAAACATGGCTCTGTCCTGCCTGGCTCCCAGGCAGTCAGACCTAATAGTTATCTGCCCTGTTCCCTGAACATCGCTGTTATCCTGTTCTTTTTTCAAGATGCCCAGATTTCATATTGTTCAAACATACATGCTTTACGAACAATTTGTGCAGTTAACGCAATCATCACAGGGTCCTGAGGCGACACACATCCTCAGCTTACAAAGATGACGGGACTGAAAGAGTATTGATTGGGGAAGTGATAAGTGTCCATGAAGTCTTCACAATTTATGTTCTTCTGTCACGGCTTCAGCAGGTCCCTCCGTTCGGGGTCCCTGACTTCCCGCAACACCCTCTCTCTGTGCTCTTTTGCTTTTCCGACCTCTGCTATGGTACAGTGCCGCAAGAAGACCCTTACCAGATGCAGGCCCCTCGACTTTGGATTTCCCAGTCTCCCAAACTGTAAGAAATAAATCTCTGTTCTTTATAAATTACCCAGTCTGTGATATTCTGTTACAGTAGCAGAAAACAGACTGAGGCACACACTGTTGTGTAAACTACATATTTGTATATGTGTGTATGTACCTGTATAGCCCTTTCATTGTGAAATAGTGGTGTCCATTTCAATGTTTTTTCACAAATCAACATTCTGGTGACCCTGAGCTAAGTCAAGAAACAGAACACCAGGATTCCTATGCAGTCCTGCCTCCGTCCTCCTACCAGAGATCACCGTGATCTTGGCCTTCAGAGTAGCCACGAGAACTTTGCTTTACAGTTCTGCTGCCTCCATGTGCATTCCTGTTTTTCTTCTGCAACGAGGCCTGTGAGTTGTTTCTTTGACATCTATCTGCCTTGAGTGACTTGTTGCTGTTCTAATGGGGAGATGCTTGGTTGCTGGAATATCCATGGTACTCTATACTGTATATGCCTCACTCCCAGGGCATTTTCTGATTCATAGTTGAGTGTGGGTGTACCATACGGCCAGGCAAGGATGAGGGTGAGTGAAATGGAGTGAGGGTCTGATTCTGTTTTATATTTTCATGAAATATCAGATTTGTGCCACTCACAGCCACAGTCCCCCACTTAACTGCACCGGTACAGGATTGGAGGCCATGGCAAGCTGCTCCTCCACTCACAGCCACAGTCCCCCACTTCACTGCACTGATACAGGACTGGAGGCCATGGCGAGCTGCTCCTCCTCTTATAAAGCTACAGCAAATGTATCATCCTGATAAGATGGAAAAAATGTGCCTGGAAAATGAAAGCAGACTGACCCAGATTAAAAGAAAAAAAAAGACCCAGCAAAATCTTTGGAGAAAAAGGAAAGATGATGAATTCTGACAAGTAATAATGTGATCAGCTTAACTGTTATGAAACACTTACAGTAGATCTTATGCAAAGCGGTCAAGATAAAGGCCTTGAAATCTCAAATTAATCACTTGTAGCATTTCACATTGGCAAAACATTTTGCTGCAAGTTGATCATCCTTTCAGTGGCCTTGTCAGAAAAGTCTGGGAACAGTCGTGTGTGCATCTTTCAGCTTAACAGCGAGAGGTCTGGGGCAGAACCACACTTTATAGCCTCCAGTGGCAAAGCAGGAGTGATGATGAGACCCTGAGCTCAGGTGGGGTGTTGGTTGATGAGAACTCTGCACTCACTCAAGTTGCTCGAGATCCTCTCCAGCATCTCCAGGCATCCCTCTCATGGGTCCCAGGCTTCATGGTTTCTCCATCCCCTGAATCACTGGAACACTGCATCACTAACTTTCTATTCCACCTGACCCCAAGGACACTGCTCAGTTCACAGGAAATGGGTTTCATATTATTTCCTTTTAATTTATAATTGTTTAAAACTAAAATTTAGTTAAAGAATTTGATTTTTGAATTGGCAACACAAAATTGAAAGGAAAAGCTTGAGAATCTATGCATAAATGTGTCTGCCTATGTGTGTTTCTGCATTCCCTGGTGTCCACCCTCCCTCCAAACAGGTAACCCGTGATGCTGGTTTCATGGGTATCCAGGCAGTTTGTGCAGATAGGGGGACTATAACTACATCCCCACCCCATCGCGGCCTTCAGTGAATGTGGGGGCTGTGGCTTCTTCACCCACGAAGAGCTGCCTCAGTCTGTCTCAGACCCAAAAAGTGCTCCATAGAGTGGGTGTGCACGGCAGCCCCGCCCTCCTGTCTGGGTGCGAGCGGCAGCCCCGCCCTGCTGTCTGTGTGTGCGTGGCAGCCCCGCCCTCCTGTCTGGGTGTGAGTGGCAGCCCCGCCTGCTGTCTGGTGCGTGCGGCAGCCCCGCCCTGCTGTCTGGGTGTGCGTGGCAGCCCCGCCCTCCTGTCTGGGTGTGAGTGGCAGCCCCGCCTGCTGTCTGGTGCGTGCGGCAGCCCCGCCCTCCTGTCTGGGTGTGAGTGTCAGCCCCGCCCTGCTCTCTGTGTGTGCGTGGCAGCCCTGCCCTGCTGTCTGGGTGTGTCTGTCAGCCCTGCCCTCCTGTCTGGTGTGCGTGGCATCCCCGCCCTGCTGTCTGGGTGTGGACGTTCAGGTTGTTTCCAGTCTTGTTACAGATCAGTCCCTTGCCTGTGTCAGTGGGCGAGGTACGCAGAATAGAAATCCCTCAAGGGAAAGGGCATGAGTTGCAGAATGGCAGAGTCAGGACCTAGGGAAATCTCCACCCCCAAAACAAGGAAAGAACTGGAAGAATTGTTTTGAAAAAATATTCGGAATTCTAGAAACAAAGGCATGCACACCAAAAGCATTTATTCAAGAAAAACTTCTGAATCTCAGTAAGAAGAGCAAGCAGAGTCTGTGGCAATTTGACTTGGGGCAACTTTCATTTCCACCCTCCCTCTGTGTGATGTTGTAGCCACCACTGGAGGCACAAAAGTGCTTCCCAGGCAGATGGCCAAGGCCAGCCTGCCCCGAGGGCACAGGCCACACTTACACATCAGTGACCATCAGTGGTCTGCAGTTGAAATCCCCACTCCTTGGAGTAATAACTGCACATTAATCACTTAAGCTTTTGTCACTGTCCTAGTTGAATGGAATCATCGCTGCATTTGAAAACCACTGACCTGTCATCCATGCTGCTCCCACTTTCTGCTTGTTGTTACACAGGGAGGTTGGCTGGAGGGCATCCGCATTTCTGGACATGCTATTTGTGCAGACGCCATGCTGGGTGGCTAATATGTTCACTTATTTTCTCTTCCCTGGCCTTGGGACACTTCTATTATTAGCCTCACTTTACAGATGGGAAAATAAGGGCAACTAAGGTGCATCAGACTATCAGCTGAGCTGGGCATGAGCTGAGCTGCCAGGTGTTGAGGTGGTCAGTGAAAACAGGAGCCGAGGAGGGAACAGTTGGGGTGCTCACTGCCACAATAGTGTCCTAAAGGGCTAGGCAGGGGGGGCAGTCCCACCATGCACTGTTCTCCCCCAGAGAACAGCACCAGGAGGGTCTGAAGCCTCCGTGCAGACAGGGCCGTCTCCTGCTGAGAGAGCCCTGGGCGGAGGGCTCCTGCTGATTCCTGGGCTTGGGAGCTGTCCGAGGAGGAAGGGGAAGGGCTCACAGTGGAAAAGTCCTGGGCACAGAAGGTGCCTTCAAGGCCCCTAGGGTGAGGCGGGCTCAGCTGGTGCTTCCGAAAGGCCTGGCGCGGGCGCCTAGTCCAGGGGTGCAGATGTGTGCAACCACGAGCTTGGCCCATCCCGTGTGGGGCCCAGTGGCTTGCTCTCTGACTGCAGCTCCCTTCAGAGACTGCCAGGCTCTGGCTGCACCCAGGCTGGCATAGGGACAGCAGCTGCCCTGTGAGGCCGGCCAGGTAGGGTCCTGTTCATTGCCTGAAAGTTCGTGCCTGAGAGTTCACCCAGAGGACTTTGCGCTGGAGCTGCTCCTCGCTGACGCTGTACACGGCCTCAGAATTTGTCAGACACAAGAGAGAAGGCTAACCCTCACCCTCACCCTGCAGCCAGAGGACATTAGGGGACTCTTCTCCCTGCTGTGCCTGCCTCGCCAGCCTCCTACTGAGGGAGCTGCCCAGGTGAGGGGCAGGTTGTGCTGAAGCCTCTATCGGGAGCCCCTCAGTGTCCCGCCCAGCCATAGGTCCCAACGGGAGCCGTCCAGCAGTTTCCCAGCAAGGAGGGGCATTGGCAGGAGATGATGACGCTCAGCCGCAGCTTCTGTGGCTCACACAGCCACAGGCCAGGGCCGGGTGGGAGATGAGAGCCAGCCGCTGGGCTGGGGCCTGGCACTTGAGCAGTCATTTGCACAATAGGCACCATCATTCTCATCACCTGGGGCACTGAGGCTCCGAGGACCTGGGTGAGTTGCCCAGGGTCACGCTAACTGAGCAGATGCTAAGATGAGGTCTGGCCCAGGCTCATCCCCTCATGCCTGGATGTGTTCCTGGGACTAGAACTTGGCTCTGCCGTCTTCACAGCACTGGAGCTCTCAGAGGCAAGCTTGCACGTTGTGTGTGTCGGTAAAGGCCCACGTAACAGAGTGAGATTTGCCCCAGCGACGACCCTGTGTCCCAGGAGCCCTGGCCGGGCAGGGGTAGCCTGTGGTGAGGGCAGTGGCCACGCGGATGCCGCTCTCCTGCAGGTGCAGCCCGGTCCCTCCTCAGCTTCCTCCCTGGCTTCTTGTGCAGGTCAACATTGGCATCCTCATCGCTGTGACCAGAGTCATCTCACAGATCAGCGCCGACAACTACAAGATCCATGGAGACCCCAGTGCCTTCAAGTAAGTTGACCTCAGGCTGCCAGCAGTGCCACGGCCCTTCTGCCCCCAGAGGACTGCTCTGAGGTCACAGGAGAGATAGCCACTCCTGCCTCCTGTGGCCGGCACCAAAGCCCTCCACTTGCTCGGTGTCCCTGCGATCTTGGGGCAGCTCTGGCTTCATGCCCTGGCGTGGCTCTCGTGACCCAGGACAAGGCCTTTACCCAGCCCCAGAGCTCCCATGTGTAGAAGAACAGGGTCTACGGATGTTCTCGTAGGGATTTCTTCACCCCAGGGTGATGAGCAGCTGGGGCAGGGGGGCGGCAACGGGGAAGATTCTAGAGCCAGAGAGCCCCTGCCAATCCTGCCTCTGCCCTGGCCATCCGCTGGACTCAGCGAGTTCTTTAGCCTCTCAGCACCTCACCTTCCTCACGTGCAGAACGGGATAGCAGGTTCCGCCTCGGCTGGCACATCAGGGAAAGTCCAAGGGAGAGTAGTGTCCTGGCGTGCTCTGGGCTGCCCACCTGGAGAAGGGGCGGGGGTCTCTGGGAGGGATTCCAGCCACACAACTCACTGCCATCGGGGTGTCCTGACAGCATCTGTTAGGGCCCAGCCAGTTGCAGGTGACGAAAATCCCAGCATGCGCTGGCCTTACAGAAGGGAGACTGACTGACGCAGGTGACTGTAAAGTCCAGAGCTCAGAAGTCTAGGCATGGCAGGAATTGTTTGGTAATTGAAGCACCGGGGCCCAGATCCTCCTTCGCATCCTCCGTGTTAGCTTCAGGCTGAGGTCAACTCTGCCCCCTGGTGGCAGAATGGCTGTGGCAGGGGGTTCAGGCCCACGGGGGAGTCCCTGTCCCACCTGCTCAGACAGAGGCCTGCGCCTGGAGGGGGAGGGGGACTCAGGCTGGGCCTGTGCCCTCCCTGAGCCAGACCCTGTAGAGGGGATTCACTCATATGACTGTGTGACTGTTCAGTCAGCACCCCCAAACCACAGGGCCAGAAAGCTGGGGAGGCGGTCCCTCACAGGGAATTTGGGAGCTTTGTGAAGAATGGGGCATGGGTACCAGGCAGCTGACGTTCCGTAATGTTACTTCAGCCACCGTATATCTTTTCTGATGTGAAAGCAAAAGTGGTAAATATGTCAGCAGTGAATCTATGAGAGAATTAGTCTGTAATGAATTCCAAACACCATAAATTAACCTGACAAGAGGCTGCAGCCTCCTCGGGCTGTTCAGCTCCTGCAAACCTTCAAGGGCTGTGCCCCGTGCGAGAAGAGAAGCTTGTGGGGTCAGAGATCATGTCCTTTCCTCTTCCATTGCTGAGACCAGGCTGGTCTCCTGGACCCCTCGTGGCCTGGCCGGGGAGGGACCTGTCCCTTCCTCACCCCAGCCCTCAGCTCCCCAGGCCCTCACCTCAGCGTTCAGGGTCGACCAATCTGTTGCCAGCTTGTCTCAAGCAAAAGCTCACGCTCCCCTGTCTGAGCCCGATGAGACCACTACTCACTACGCCCACTGTCAGCAGAACACCCCCGTGTACCTGCCTCACACCTGTGCACCAACTTCCATCTCTACCCCACTGCCCCCAGCCTCCCAGCAGTGCCCATCCAGGAAGCAGCTTCTGTCCACTGCCTTTGCTTCTCCATGGAAATGTCCTCCAAGCGACAGGCTGGCACTGTGTCTGCAGCTCTTGTGAAGGCTCGGGGTAGCGTGCCCCGGGAGAGCATGCCCAGGTCTTTGCAGGGCACAGCTGAAGGCACTGCCCACCGTTCCCACCTGACTCTGCACCTGGCAGCCCAGGGATGCGTCCCTCCCAGGGAGGTGCAGGCAGGCGTCTCTGGGGACAGACCTCTCTGGGTTCCTCTCCATTGTGCAACCCAGCACATTCCCCAATGCCTTCAGCTCCTCTCCTTTGGGCAGCCAGGTCTGCCCCCGGGGGATGCTTCCTCACAGTCTTAGTGTGGATTGTGTAACACTGGACTCCCAGGGCTGAGGAAGCAGAGCCAGGGAGCCGCAGCGCCAGGCAGGAAGAGGGCAGTCACGACATCGTGAGGAAGTCTCCTCAGCACCTTCCTATTCCTCATCTTCTGGTTTTACTCTAGTGATTTTCTTCGTGCCAAGCGGCCCAGTACTCAGTGAATAACGAGATAAGATTCTTCCTCAGGGCTCTCCACAGGGTTGGCTTACACTCCCCCCCAACCCCCACCCCGCCCCGCCACACACAAGAAAAGTGGAGAATAGAACAGGTGAGGTCTGAGAAGGGAGAGAAGTCTGGTTTCACTTTTTTAAAAAGTCTCTGTTTATTGACTGTGATTTCAGACTCCTGAAAAAGCAGCAGGGAATGGTCGGGTTTTACAAGAGGGACCCTGGGGGCGGGGGCGTGAGGGTGAGACCCCCACGGAGGTGCACCTGTGAGTAGGTGACTATGGGGGCCAGAGACTCGGCCTGAGCCCCCCAGGCCAGGGCTGACCTTGGGGGAGCAGAAGGGGGTCATAGATCAGAGAGGAAATCACACCCCCTGCCCAGAGCCTCCTCCAGATCCAGGGACCCCTTCCTGCTTTTGACCAGGGACACTGACAGCTCTGGCCGTGTTGAGACTCCTCAGAGCTTCAGCTCGGCGTCTTCCCCCAATATCTTCTTTTATTGTTCATTTTAAGAAAAGTCAAACCATCACTTTAAAAGTAGCACATTTTGGTACCTATTTCTCGGTGACCTTTCCTTTCAAATATGGTTTCCCGGGATGTAAAGATTGTAGCTGAATAATGCATGATATCTTTGTTTCTCGGAGACAGGTGTTTTATTTTTACTGCGTTAGTGTTATGAGAACAAGCTGGCTGCAGCTTCTCTGAGATCTGAAGTGCTGGAACACTTCTGGGTTTTATAGGCACCCATTGCCAGGAGCTGTCAGTGCCAGGTTCTTGGGCTCTGGACAAGGGAGCTCATTATGGCCGCGTCCCACCTCCTCCAAGGAGGTGCCAGATCCGTGTGCAGCACTGCTGCGTGGCTGTCCATTTGTTTACCATTCATTCATTCAGCGTTTATCTCCTGAGAGCCTCTGAGTCCTGGCGCTGGGATGCACTTAGGGGTTACAGAGACAAAAGACCAAGTTCCAGCCTTTACGGAATCCACAGTCTGTGAGGGTGACGGTCTCAGTCACTGGGCGGAGTGATGAGGGGTAAACTGAGGCATGTGACAGTGGCTGACCTGGGCAGCAGGAACTCTAGACTAGTCTCTAGACTTTTCTCTAAAGCTCAAAGGCAGAAGGTCCCTGCTGTGGAAGGCCCAGCTGTTTCAGAAGTCAGGATGGACTGGACTGGAGTTAGCTGGCCATGACTGACACAGCACATCAGGAATGGCTTTGACGCAGACAGCTGGTGGGCCCAGAGTGGGTGCTAACTCTGGCCCAGGTGGGGACGTCTGCATACCCTCTGGCTCTGCCCCTGATGAAACCCTCTATCACCTTAGCTATTACCAGGGACTGTGGGGCCTCAGTTTTCTTATTAGAAAATGAATGGGGTCAATATATAACCTGCCTCTCCTGTGTCGAGGGCCCGTGGGGCTCTAAGGAGATAAAAACGCATGCTGTTGGGGGTGTGTTCGGGGATGGGGCTCTGTCAGTTCACAGCGCAGTTCAGCAAAAGCCTTTGTTCAGCACGTCCTTTGAGCATGACCAGGGCCATGAAGACGGTCAGTCGGTCCTGCCCTCTGAGAACTCACTGTCAGTGTCACAGGAGGGTTTGGGTGATCAGCGGGGGACACGTGGGCTGCAGCCCAGAGAGGCCTGGAGAATTCTTCCTGGCCATGGCCTCATTGCCCCCTTCCAAGCGTCTCACAGGAGGCCTCTGGGTTCTGGATGCTTCAGGGACCTGCTGCTGCTTCAGTCCCCCGAATCTCTCCCCTCCGGCCTGGCTCCTCCTCCTCATCTTTGCAAACAGCTCAAATGCAAGCCCTGGGCCTGGGCAGAGTCTCCCTGTGGCCTGGGTGAGCCCGGGGTGCCATCTGAACTTTTCCGGAGCTCTCTCCCACCCACCAGCTGTAAGGGGATGGAGGTGTGGAAACACCGAAGCTCCTTCCAGGTAAACGCCTCACCCAAGGCCACCTGCAGGGAGGACCCCGGGTCTTGCTCCCAGCGGGGCGGTGCCTACACCCATCTGGAAGCCTGGCGTCTTGAGGGCAGTCCTCACAGCCTGCACCTGTCCTCCTGCTGCTCAGGATGACTGTCACTGTTTCTCTCCAGGTTGACAGCCAAGGCAGTGGCCGTGCTGCTGCCCATCCTGGGCACCTCGTGGGTCTTTGGCGTGCTTGCTGTCAACGGCTGTGCTGTGGTTTTCCAGTACATGTTTGCCACGCTCAACTCCCTGCAGGTGAGAGACCACACGGAAGTGGCAGGGAGGTGGGGCCACCAGCCGTCAGGAGCAGGCGTGCAGGGAGCTAGGGCTGGAGGGAGGCCTGCCCTCCCCGCCATACCTCCGGAGCCTGTAATGCAGGGCGTCCCCAAAGGCCGAGGACTCTCAGAAAGCAGGGCCTGCAGGATCCTGACCCCTTCAGGGTGGGGCTGCCTGTGCTTCTGGCCGGCATCTGTAGTTGGCACGTCCTGGCTGGGAATGGAGGGACAGTAAGACAGTCAGCCTGTGGCAGCTCTGGAAAGACAGTCAGGCAAAGAGGTGGCCAGGGCAGTCCTCAGGTGCTGCCCTCTGTGTGAAGGGCCGGGGAGGGTCACCTGGGAACCAAAGACTTGGGATGCCAAGGGTCAGGGCCCTCAGACCCATGGGCCCGCAAGGGAGGGCAGGCATGGGTCCCCCTCACCATCCATGGCCCTCCCGGCCCTCCCCAGGCTACTCGAGTTGTGTCTGTGTCTGCAGGCCGGTGGCATGTCTTCCGGAAGTGCCTGCCCTTGCCCCGCACTGAGCCTGTCTGGGAACCCACCTGCCGTTGCACCTTTGCCCACGCAGCCCCCCCCGCTCTGAACTCGGTCCAAGCAGCTGCCCAAATCTAGGTTGGATCACAGGGTGGGACCCAGGACGCGCCTCCGTCCTCACAGGCCCCAGGTCATGGGACCTGGTGTCACAGCGTGCAGTGCCAGTGTCACTCTCAGGCTGCATGGGAGGAACCTCCAGACAGTGTTCCGAACTACATGCAAAGGGCTCTAATCTCCGTTTCTTCCCTCCCTTCCCAGGGACTGTTCATCTTCCTCTTCCATTGTCTCCTGAATTCAGAGGTACGTCCACTCTACTTCCTAGCAGTATGAAGCTGGCTTTTCCTTTCTGAAAGGTCACAGGAGTGGGAATAGCATTGCCCTATCAGGGTGGTGTCTGGGACTCAAATCCTGAGCCAGCTGTGTTCCTGATGACAAGTTGTGTGCCCTGGGCCTGCTGCTCGGCAACTCTTCTCTCCCTGCCTCGTTGCTAAGCGATGGACAAGCATCTTCTCTCCCTGGAGAAGTGGCGACTGCATCCTGGGGAAATGCAGGCGTGTTCCCCAAAGTCTTCCTCAAGGCCTTGGGGAAGCTGGCCTGGCTGTGAGACGGAGGACTGCTGTCCATGGGAGCTGGGAAGGGGACTTTTGTGATGTGGCTTCCTTGGACTGGGGCAGCCAGCACAGGCTCATTCTTCTCGGTGCTGCTCTGAGCCTGGCACCTGCCATGTACTTGGCTGGGGGAAAGCAGGGGCTGCCCCAAGGACTTCTGTTCCTGTGGGAGAACTTTTCCCAAGTCAGCTTTGAGCCCCTGCCAGGCTGAGGTTGTGGGAGCTGCCTTGGGGTGGGGAATGGGCCAGGGCAGAGGGGTCACCCTGCCCGGTCTCTCTCAGTGGCGGTGTCCGTTTGCAAGGACAGGCCAAGTGGGCCAAGGAGGGCAGAGCAGAGAGTCGCTGAGCAGGATGGTGACCGGGCAGAAGGGCTGCATGATCACAACGCCCAGTGACCCCTTGCAAGGCCTGAGGTGGATCCGGGTGGCAGGAAGGCAGTGCAGCCATGGAAGTTCACCCACCCGCCCGCCACGCATTTTTATTTATTTGCTTCTCTCTCACACTCACCCCGGGACATTCACTGCTGTGTGTGAGGAGCCCAGCAGAGTCCACTCCAGACCCAGCTTCCCTGGCCTGCGGCACAACCTGGGTCTGCCACACAGAGCAGCGATGCACAGCTCAGCTGTGGAGCCACTAGCTCCGACTCTGTTATTTCCAAATCCCAACCTTCCCCGCACATCTGCTTCCGGGGTTGCACTGGCACAGACTCCTCTGGTTACGGCTGTTGCAGCCTCTGAAATTGCTTCTTGTGATCCCTTCCCTGCTTTTAAGGTGAGAGCCGCCTTCAAGCACAAAACCAAGGTCTGGTCCCTCACGAGCAGCTCCAGCCGCACAGCCAACGCGAAGCCCTTCCACTCGGACATCGTGAGTGCAGCCTCCTTAAACCAAGGGTCCCAGCCCATCCTCCATCCCCAGGCTCAGTCGTCAGCAGGATGGCGTGTGCAGGCAGCAGGATGGGATGTGCAGGCAGCAGGATGGGATGTGCGGGCAGCAGGATGGGGTGTGCGGGCAGCAGGATGGGGTGTGCGGGCAGCAGGATGGGGTGTGCGGGCAGCAGGATGGGGTGTGCATCAGCAGGATGGGGTGTGCAGGCAGCAGGATGGGATGTGCATCAGCAGGATGGGGTGTGCATCAGCAGGATGGGATGTGCAGGCAGCAGGATGGGGTGTGCAGGCAGCAGGATGGGATGTGCAGGCAGCAGGATGGGGTGTGCATCAGCAGGATGGGGTGTGCAGGCAGCAGGATGGGGTGTGCATCAGCAGGATGGGGTATGCAGGCAGCAGAGGTGGCTTCGGGTGCCCAGCCGTCTTTGACCCCCTCTCCTGCCTGACTCTGGCCCGCAGGCTGCACGTGCTCTGGGCTCGTGTCCCCCACACAGTGCCCTGTGTCCTGATGAAGTCACCACAGCCCTCCCCTTTGACCCTGAAGGGTCAGGGCTTCTTGTGTTCACTTAGGGATGGAAGGACTTAGAGATCAACTGACCATGAGGTGGCCCATCCCTGCTGCCCTCCAGAGCCCAGGCAGGCCCCCAGGCAGTCTGGAGCCGGCCCTGTTAGGGTTCTCACTGCGCCACTGCTTCCCACCTGCTGGAGCCTGCTCCAGTGTCCCATCCTCAGAAGTCCTTCCCCGCACATGGTGCTCAATCAAGGCACTCCCACCCAATTTCGCACTCCGCCTCCACCCACAGCTGTGTGGTTTTCCATTTGCTTAGGGACCATGTCTGCCCTGCTCCACGGGAGCTGGCTGGCTCATGCACTGCTCTAGCCCCACTGCTACAACTGTGCCAGGTGCGTGGCACGCTCCATGACTCACCATGGAATGACACCAGCATGGACAGATGCACGGGGGTGAAAGCGTGGGTGCCGGGCGGATGGGTGAGCAGAGGAGGGAGTGAGCACTCAGCACAGCATGCTTGTGGTGCCGGAAGGGAGGTCAGTGTGGAGAACTCTGTGGGTGGAGATGCCACAGTGTACACATCCTCATCTCCCCCAGGAGATGCACCTTGCCCCACCGCAGGGAGAATACTCAGGCAGCTGTGGGCCCAGTGCTCCCCACACTCACTGGGCTTATGGCTCTCCCCCGGGAGCAGGCCCTTCACTGCTCATCCGTTTATGCTTTGCAGATGAATGGGGCCCGGCCAGGCACGGCCTCCACCAAGCTCAGCCCCTGGGACAAGAGCAGCCACTCTGCCCACCGCATAGACCTGTCAGCCGTGTGAGCCGGGAGGCTGCCAACCAGGCCAGGCTGCACTCAGAACACCGCCCCCCCCAAACGGAATGAAACGCCGCATCTTTGCCCGTGGGACCCTCTCCTTGCCGCTGTCTGGACTTGGGTGTTATGGCCCTGAGATAGCCGTCCTCCCGTGACTCTGGCTGTCAGAGCACACTGCTGAGTCCAGCAGCCTGATACCCAGGCCAGCGTGGGCCCTCCTGCCTCACGTCCACCTGTGGGCTGAGTGACTCCCTCTGGGGACTCCCAGGACACAGTGGCCTGACGGTGATGGTGCCCTTGAGCCTCCCTTCGTCACTGAGCACCAGACCCAGCGAGGCCAGGACACTCAGGTCCCGCAGCCCCAGGAAGGGACGTTCAGCCTCTGTGCCTTGGTGGGACTTGGGGACTCAGGGCCAAAGAGGTGGTTCAGGTCCCCATGCACCCCCAGACAGTCAGGTGCAGGCAGCTGGGGGTGTGTGGGGAAGAGCATGAGGAGTCCCCAGGGTCTGAATTCACTGGTGAGTTCCCCACAGTTGGCGCCAGCCGTGGTGTCTCCATAGGTGGTGCCAGCGTGGGCCAACCTGTGCTGTCATCAGTTTGGGCCCTGCCCAAGCCCAGCTCAAGCCGTGGGCGGGAGTCACTGACTCTCCAGGTGAGGGTGACCTCTCTGCCCTGTCCTTGGGGGGGTCCCCTCTGTTCACGTCAAGAGCCACTCTGGGCCTTGAGACCGCCTGATGGTGCCAGTGCTTGGGGGAGCTTCTTGGCCATCCTCTGTGAGTTTTGCCTCTTTGGACCCCAATTCAGCCTTAAGATGCCCTCCTTCTTTCCTTGTGTGCGAGCCTCCTTGGTGGTTCTTGGGCCACAGGAGCTGGTCGTGTCCCTGCAGTGCCTGGTGTCCAGGTGGAAAATGGAGGGCATTTTCCAACACACCACTTTCCCTGGAGCCTTCCTCATGACTCACAGGCACTCTACTCAGTTTCTACTGGGCAGACCACGTGGCAGGTAGCACCCTGCGCTCCATCTGGTCACCACGAGGGTGACCCATGCTGAGTCCCCACTGACCTGGAGAGGGAGGGCTGGCGACAGCCATGTCGTCTGTGTTGAGGGAAATTTATGGACTCAGACTCAGCCCCAGAGGAGATGGGATAATCGTTATGGACCTGTGTGTGGACATGATCCTGTGGAACATAGGTTTGGGATCACAGATGTGAATTAAGACACCACTGAGATACGGGCTATGAGGTTCATACTGTGCCGAGAGCACCCGTGGTGTCTCTGAAATGTGGGTGAGACATTCAAACCTGGTTTTCATACTGGAAAGTCTTCCTTTAAAACTGTGACCATGATTCCATTCAGCCCCTCCGCAGCCCTGTCTGCCTTGTTTCAGAGTGACTTTTCCATGGAGCTTGTGCCCTTTTGCATCCCGCCTGGTGGCTTCTTAATGTAACTCTCCCCTGGTCACCTGGAGTGGACCAGTCATCTGCAGGCCTCTCCTGCATGGGGAGGGTGGGCAGGGAGCAGTATGTCTGCAGGGGTGAACCTTTGCTCTTCTGTCAGGCAAGGCCCGTGCTGCACCAGCCACCTGACACATGGTGACAGTGCCACGGGCCCTGCGTGTGGCCCCTGCACCCGTGCTGTGGCAGGCACACCTGGCTGCTGCAGGCCAAGGCTGCTGTTCAGCGAAGAGTCCCATGTTTAGTGTGGACTAAAGTCCCATGTTTAGCCACTGCCCCAGGCTCCTGTGACCCCAGAAACCAGGTCACGTGGACCACGGTGGCAGACCCTCATCACGCCCGTGAGCACCTAGAAGTGAGAACACTGTATTCCTACAATTTACACTTGGATATTTCTCCTTATTTAGTTTCTAGTGAAAGAAATCAAGTAAGGAACTATCTTTACTTTAGATGGAATTATTTGTTTTTTTAACTGTTGCCATATTCATCTATATAGCTAATATTTCAAGATAAGTAAAGAACAAAACCTGTCTAAACCTTTTATTTCCAATGAATGAAAGTTGTGCACTTTATTTATAGGCTCAATGTTTTGGCTTCTGCAGTACTTTTATTATCTACACATAATTTGGCCAAAAATAAGAAATTGGAAAGAATTACATGTTTAGTTTATAGTAGAAGATGATGACACTAAGTTGTGAAAATATGTTGTGATTTTTATGAAATAAAATCTTCATGTCCTTAAAAGAAAGTGTGCTCCTTAAAATCTGTTGCTAGTGGAATGTGAACAGGACAGTGAGTCTCTAAACACACATCAGTAACATCCCAGGCTGGGGTCTGCTCAGTAGACATTCACTCAGCACCTACTGTGAGCTCCACACACTCTTGCTCTGGGGATGCCCCAGGAGCCTCTGTCCCAGGGATGGGGTATGAACAAAAACCAGGGGCAAGCAGCGGGCCTGGGAAGGAAGCATGGGAAGGAGGCCTGGAGGGACATGCACAGGCCTTTGTCTGCCCAGGGTAATTTATGCAAAATGTACTGCTGCTGCTTCAAAGGAGGCGGAGTTCAGCCACATGTCACACCCCCAAATATACTCATTCATTCCTTCCCCATGTTGCTTTTCTGCTTTTCACAGAATTTACAGAGATGTAATTTACATGGTCCTACATTGCCTCTGTTGTGCAGCCGTCTGCTTTTATTATTTTATTTTATTTTATTTCTTTTCTTTTGAGGCGGAGTGCCTCTGTCGCCCACCCTGGAGTACAGTGGTGCCATCTTGGTTCACTGCAACCTCCGCCGCCCAGGATCAAGCCAGTCTCCCTCCTAAACATCCCAAGTAACTGGGACTACAGGCATTCACCACCACAACCAGCTAATTTTTGTATTTTTAGTAGAGATGGGGTTTCACCATGTTGGCCAGGCTGGTCTTGAACTCCCGACCTCAGGTGATCCGCCTGCCTCAGACTCCCAAAGTGCTGGGATTACAAGTGTGAGCCACCACACCAGGCCCGCCGTCTGCTTTTAATATGCACTTATAAACCACTTTTCATATTACTCTATTGTTCATAATTATGATTGTAATATAAAGTGTTCTGTTACATATTATATTTTACCAAAAATCTTGCACTCGTTTATAACTGGATTCTACGATTCTGTGTCATATATCAACATTTACATATTTATCATATATTTATGTTAACATTCGAATGTTTTTTATATCTATAATATATAATAGAGAGATAGATATAGTGTCTTTGTGCTTATGGCTTTCTTCCTTATATTATTTTTTATGTTGATTATCTTTTAGGTTAAAAATTTGGGGAAAAAAAAAAAGAGTTTTGCATCAAAAAGTAAAGAATTCCATGACTCTTGAAACATTCTGCCAAATTCTTTACCAAAAGAGTCATCGGGTCAGTTTTCGCTGCTGGTGATAACTTATTAGTATTCTCAGTGAGAACTTATTGATACTCTTATTTCTCAAAACTTTTACAGGAAAGGTGAGCAGTGTTCTCATCACCAGCTTAGTATGTGTGAAACTTATCGTTTGTATTTTCTTGATTACTACTGAGTTTGAACAGTCTTTCATATGTCTTTTTACTTTCTTAGGAAGGTGGCTACAATTCTGAATATAGAAGGGAGATGTTTCATTTATTTACGGTATCACTCATTGTCCTGCACCCATCCCAATTGCGCTCTCCTGTGGTGACCGTGGGACCAGGTCCCACGGGAGCTGCACACATGGTGACAGGATCTAGCAGCTGTGGCCAGGAGAAATGCCTCAGCTGGTGCCACCCATCCCCGTTGGTGCAGGGCCCTCCCTCTCCCACAAGCCACTTGACGCCCAGCCTTGGCCAGGCCCCTCCCTTTAGCTTCCGGGGATGAGGGGACGAGGCAGGTTGGTGGAGCTGCAAGCATGGGGCAGAGGGGTCACCCTGGAAGGAGGGTCCCCTGAGTGCCCTCCTGCATCCCAGCCCCTCCTCCACAGCGAGCTGCTCCCGCCACCCTCAGACTTCCTTCAGAGGCATCAGAAATTACAGTCCACAAATGGAATCATTATTTTCATGCTCCAACAGGCCTTTAAAAATACTTTTTTTTCAGCTAAATTCAGGGAGTTGGGAAGTGAGCAAAGAAGATATGGGCAGTGTGCATCATTGTACAATTCCCTGCTTGCTTCTAAATGCTATTTGGTTCCTCTTTGCCCAGCCTCTATTTTTAGCCTTTACGCCAGTTTGTGCTAGGATGATTCCTTCTAAAGGCTGTATTATTGGCTGTGCTTTCCAAGCCAGTCTGAGGATCTCTGCATTTAATTGGCGAATTGACATCTTGATATTTATGTGATCTGTTTGTAACATTTTGCATCTGTCATTTTATTCATGCTTCCTGGGTTTTTTTTTGTGGTGGGGGGTCGCAGTGGAGGGGTTGCAGGAAGTGTTGTTCTGTTATTTCTTTTTGTTTTGGTTTTTGATGTCTTGGTTGCAATCTTTTATAATAATTTGCTTCAGAGCTATCTTGGCTTTTCCCTGACTACATCTGCACTAGTGCCATAGTACAGTCCCACATAACTTAGTATTTCGTGTGCACTTACTGGCAACTTTGTTTCTGTTTGGTATTTAAAGAAAGGATTTTCAGGCCGGGCACAATGGCTCATGCCTGTAATCCCAGCACTTCGGGAGATCAAGGCAGGCAGATCACTTGAACTCAGGAGTTTGAGACCAGCCTGGGCAACATGGCAAAACCATGTCTGTATTAAAAATACAAAAATTAGCCAGGTGTGGTGGTGTGTACCTGTAGTCCCAGTTACTTGTGGGGCTGAGGCAGGAGAATCGCTTGAGCCTGGAAAGTTGAGGCTGCAGTGAGCCATGATTGCACCACTGAGCTCCAACCTGGGTGACAGAGCAAGACTCTGTCTCAAAAAATAAAAAATAAAAGGATTTTTATATTAGTGTTTTTACTCTTAAAAGTTATACACATTCCTGCTATTTAAATCTTATTTATAAATTAAGCAAATTTAAATTGTTAATCTACTTTTTAAAAATTAATAGGCTTTATTTTTAGAGCACTTTTAAGTCTATAGTAAAACTGAGCTCCCTCATACCTCCCCCTTCCCCCATCCCACTCCTGCAGTTTCCCCGATCATCAACGCCTTGCATCAGTGCGGTGCATCTGTCACAATTGGCGAATGAATGTTGATGCATTGTTGTTAACAAGAGTCTGTAGTTTACACCAGGGCTCACTCTGTGTTATACTGTTCTATGGGCTTTGACAAAGGTATTGACTTACAGCACCATGTAGCTTCACTGCCCTAAAACACCCTCTGGGGTTCACCTGTTCACCTCTTCTCTCTCCCAACTAACCCTGACAACCACTTTTTTTTTTTTAAACTGTTTCTATACTTTGCCTTTCCCAGAATGTCGTATAGTTGGAATCATACAGTGTGTATGTTTTTCAGATGGGGTTCTTTTGCATAGCAATATGCATTTAAGATTCCTCTATATATTTTTATGGCTTGACAGATCATTTCTTTTTATTGCTGTATAATATTCCATTGTGTGGAGGTGCCACACTATTGTATCCATTCACCTATGAAGGACAGCTTCGTTGCTTCCACGTTTTGGCAGTGATGAGTAAAGCTAATATAAGCATTTTTGTGCAGGTTTTTGTGTGGAAGTTAGTTTTCATCCCATTTGGATAAATACTAAGGAGCATGATTGCTGGACTGTATGGTAAGTTTTATAAGAGACTTTAGTTTTATAAGAGACTGCCAAGTAGCCGCACCATTCTGCATTCCTGCCAGCAGTGAATGAGTTTCTGTTGTTCCACATCCTCACCAGGATTTTGTGTTGTCAGTGTGTTGACTGTTAGCCATACTAATAGGTGTGTAGGGACATCTGATTGTCTGAATTTTCAGTTCCCTAATGGCATATGATATTGAGCACTACTCTCCAAGTTTTGGGTGTTTGTTCTAACCCCGTCAGTATCTGAATTGGCCATTTCTCCTTGCAGTTCATCAGTCTGCCTCATGTATTGGGGTGTTCTGTTGTTTGGTGCATACACAGTGAGGACTGCTATGTCTCCTTGGAGAACTGATTGCTTTATCATCTATTGCCT